ATAAAATTGCCAATGTTCGAATTTCTCATTTTTTTTTGTGCACATTTTAGTGTTACTTTTTACTTCGAAAATTCGAAGGTCAAAGCAAATCGTCTAAACTTGAAGTTATCTAAACTTAAGTATGGCTATCGACGGATATTCTCAAAGAAAAAATCCATTACAATTTGGGTCGGGACTCGAGTTGGGCCGAGCTGATTGAATGTGATCAATTCACATTTTAAAAAATAATTAAAACCTTAAACTGGTACTCGAGCACTCAGAACTTACTGGGGCCACTCTAAGGATTATTCATAAAAATATTAGAAAGATTTGATCATTTTTTTTTTTAAGATTTAACATGTTATTTGTACATAAGAGTTCTAACTCCAGACAAATTTTCAACTAAAAGGTCCCAAAAACCCAAAAAATAACTTGCATCCCGCCGCAAGGGGGTGGGAAATGGGTCTAACTTAAATTTAAATCTCAATTAAATATTCCTCTCTAGAAATTTCACTCGATTCGACCATATTTCTCGAAATTATAGCCAGTAAAAGTTGAAACTTAAAAACTAGTATGGTATTTTTTTAAATTTTAACTGTAAAGAAGTTTTTTCAAATTTCAATTTTTATTCCCTTAAAGTTGGCAACTAGATAACATTTGCGATTTATAGAGTTACTACTCGAAGGAATTGATCCAGTATTAAAAAAGTTACAATGCATAATATACAGACACAAAAACACCTACATCATAATGCATATATATTTCAGATACCAGCTGTTGACCCTTACTCATTGCAATCTACAAACTTTCAACCATAAAAACGAAGTTCCCCCTAAATTCTAAGGAAAGACAACTTTTTTTTTTAATTAGTCAAAACTTGAGTATAGCTAATATAGCTCAAAAGCTATTATTATCCCAAAAGTCTTTTCATATGCTTCTAATCGCCAGTAGTTAGAACCACGTGTCTTAAAAATGTACTAAGTAATGCTTAATTTAAAACAAATAGTACATATCTTGTAATGTTATTTAATTAGATAATGGTGTATACAATTGCGACTAGCCAAAAAATACTTGTTTTCACCGAGATGTACCCACTTTTCTTGTGCAGGCAAAAAAAACAAATTTTTTGAACCTGTCTAATAATTATATTCATATTTATCAGACAATAACTAGATATTTATCACTGTAATTATTTTCTGCGAGTATCTGGAAAAACGGGAGGAATTTAATTTAACTGTTTGAAAATAAAGAAAAAACTATAATTAGTATCACTTTGTCCTAAATTTCGTTTTTTCGCGGTTTGAAAATCAAACAAACTTAATTTTAACTTTGAAAGCTTTAATTTGAATACTTTTTAATTTTTTTTTTGTTACCCGGTGCTTGTTATTTTAAGTTCAAGCTACTTAGTTAAATCTCATCCAGACACCACAATTTGAAGTTACGGCTATTTAGCAATAGGTTTTTTTAACAAACCAAACTGCCAAATTTGTTTGTTGTACCAGTTTATAATTTTAAAATTTTTTATAAGCCGTAATGAGAAATGTGGCAATTTTGTTTTTCTTTTTAGATTACTAATATATTGCTACAAGACAAAATGTGGCAGTTTGTTATTATGTCCTCCAGTGTCATCTGGTTAAGAATTATTATCAAGTTGAAAGTTAAAACGCCTCAAATCGAAATGAGACAGTCTTGATTTATTATGCTTAAGTATAAAAAACTGTAACAGTATTATATTTTTTTTTCAACCGAAAAAACCAAGAAATTTATCACAGAAACGTTGGTTCGGTTAAACGTCAATTCATGTCTGGCCGGACACGAGGGCATTTGTTCCCTTAACCCTTTTTTTCATCTACCTATTAAATTATGATAAAGACAATTTTGATCTGATATACCATTACATAAAAAAGGAAATGTAGATAATAAATTTTACAATTTGCCCGTCAGGAACTAAAAGAACTTTTTTCGTCGTTATTTTGCTAAATTCGTTTCTTATGACTACATTTTGCACATCGATAAAGAAAACAAAATGATAAATCGTTGTAAAGCAAACACCCAATATTAATACACATGTACCTTCGAGTATATTACAAAAACATGTTATTCTACTATTTTCGATAAATCAAAATACACTAGAAAATTGATTGATTCATTAAGGACAGGACACTAGTTTTCTCTTAAAATAATAGCTTTTTTGTAGCTTTTATAACAATTGGAGACACTTAAGTTGGTGTTATTTTACAATATTATAAAACTATTACTAAACATGTACTTTTTCTATTTTTTTTTTCACAGCTCAGTATTTTTACAGAAGCGTAGTGCCATCAGAAGAAATAATATTTCACTCCACCCTTCCTCCCGTTCTAAATTTAAATGTTTAATAACTCCCAAAGTAATTTGCCAAAACTGGTTATCGACCGGTATAGTATTCAGAAAATAATTCTCAGTTTAAATAGTAAATTAAATATGTACACAAGTTACTATTTAAGTTTTTAAAAGTTGATAGGCTTATGGAAAATAATAAAAAAATAATGGTTGATGTTTAGTATTTTTATAATATTGTAAAATATGATAACCAAAAATATTTTCAAAAAAGAAATACTACAAAATTGCAATTATTCTAAAGCGTACTCATTCCATCTTTAGACCACGACGAAAACATTCGGTTTGAGTTCAATAACATTTGTTTTATCAATTTTAAAAATACCCATTGCTGCTTCGTGTTTTGCTCAATTTCAAAATATTTAAAACGGCAGAGACCGTTTCAATTAATTAGGGGTTCCGTTTTAGGCCAATACTAATCAATAAGTCATAAATGATAAGACCATTGCATAGGTGTATAAATTATTTTAATAATTGTTAGAGAGTGAAGATTTTGTATAATTTCGCACATTGGCGCATGTGTTTCAAAAGTTACACCGAGTTCAAAAGTAAATAAAGATTTATATGTACGATTTTCTATGGAAGTACTATTTATCGAATTCTCGCCGAAGCATTAACTCGAAAACACAATTTTTTTACTATAGAAAAACACTTGGGTTGTTCGATGTGCGTTCCCATTTCCACTGTTTACATAAATTCGAGATCTTAAGAAGTTCATGGCCAACCCGACTTATTAACGATTTTCTAGAATAATAAAAAGAAAAACAATTTACGTGAATTGTTTTTGGTTTTTTTTTTTTTGTAACGCAATGTTATTTCAAGGTCATTGTAATTTTTTCCCCTCCGGTAAGAGGATTTTAGGGAGGGGTGATTTTGCAATATCTTATAGCAACTTGTATGAATAATAAATTTGTCATTTATGTTAATCTATTTTTTGTTTTTTAGTTAAATAGAATTTGAAGTTTATAATATAATTTAAAAGAGCCGTAGTCTTTTAATAAGTTGGATTATTGTTATTTTATTTTTATTTTTATAATACATTAATAGTCGCATTTGCGTTAATCGAAGTAATTGTTCAGACTTGAACGCCAAAACAGTTCACTAAACTGCCATAATCTACTATGCAAGGTTCCACTCTAAACTCAATGGTCATCCGAATCAACTCGTTTGAAACCTCCCTACTAGTAAACACAATATTGTGATACCGACCGTTGGGTCCTAACCTAACCTAACACGGGTCGATGTTACCAACCAACAGATATTAGCGTCTGTTCGTTTCTCACATCTGGTACACCATGTTTGTAATTGGTCCAGTATTAAAAAAGTTACAGTGTATATAGATAAAAAAAAAGCCCACATCAGAGTAAAACCAACACCTTCGACGCTCTGCATCGAAGCTAAAATCAGTGAAACAAAAAAAAAATGGTGGGTACGAGGAGGATGTCAAAAATATAATAAATTGTGTTCTATCAAAAAAATTAGGTTTTAATATTGAAAAAATGACAAATTCAACTTACTCAATTACAAGAACACTGAAATTTTTAAATGAAAATGGCTTCCTCCATAACATAGTAATATAAAATAGCTAAGGAACTCGAATCTTTTGACACAATTGAAATTGGACCATCCTAAGTAGTCGACATGGTGTCTAGTTTTTTGGTCTAAAATAAGCCCAAATGACTTTTACTCGTAGAAAAAAATTATATAAATTAAAAATAATAACTATTACATGGTCGAAATTTATTAAAAAACCGCTCTTTCTTAAATGTTGCCTATATAAAACTCCTTAAAACAGACCGCATGCGGCATGCAATACCCTAAAAGTGCATCTTTGGCAAACTTTTTTTTTTTTTAAATAATTTTGTTATATTCCAATTTTATCATCAAGTCCGTTTTCAACCAACATATATTACAATATGTTACCTAACTAATATGTATTAAGTGGCCACAGCACTAGCCTTAAATAAGGCGCATTGTATAGACAATTCTCATCAAAGCAATAAAACTTAACATTAGGCTAAAATGCCTATGCTATAAATGCACTAACTTTGAAGTGTGCTCTTAAGTATACTCATATTTAAGATTTGGAAATCATTTTAAATTCTTTGTATTATTTACAAGACATCGAACGGGTCACAATTTTTAATTAAATATTTAATCACTCTCAAATAGCAACCAAAAAATTTAAATGTGTAAAATGTAATTTTCTTCTTTTGGTTTTTTTCTTTATAAAAAAAAAAGTTTGTCTAAAGATTTTTAAGAAACGTTTATATGTTATAGCCCCATTTTATATCTATCTACTTCTGTTTAATTTTATGACCTAAACCCCTAAAAAGCTTGTCTAGAAACTTGTATAGTACTTGAATTTGCAAATAATTATTTTAAAAAAGAATTTGGAACTTTTCAAATTTAATTTTCAAGTAATTCAATTTTAAGGTTTTCAAATTACAACGATTTAATGTGTCTTATACACATATGTGTTTTATCAAAATTGTTAAGACCTCCTTAGATCGGCCTATGAATAAGGGCTCGTATGAAGTGGCCTTTTTACACAATCGTGGTGGCAGATAGTAGTTTAGGTGATAGTCTTAAATAATTAAACTCAAGATGGCTGTAATAAACTGTAGAGATATATATTTATGCATAATAAAACATACACGTGTGATTAGATATTCGAAACAAACCGATACAAATTTTTATTGAATTTAAAACATGATAATAAACAAACAAACCAAAACGTGCGTAGACATAATTATTTCATAACTCGTGCAATAATAATTAATTTAAAAAAAACGAAAAAATTATTTAATTTTAATTTTTTTTCACCACTTTGGATGGGAATAAGAATAGCCGTGTACGCCGGAGGCAACTTCTTCGCATTTGTAATTTAAAAGAAACTGTTCAAGTACTTCAAGTACTTTAGACGACGGACAAAACTTATCACATAAGGTACCGTCAGCCAATGGGATAGCTGTTAGTGTTTCGTTGACATAAATGCCAACCAAGTCGTCTTCGCCGTCGGGTTTTGGGAATACGAGAATAAGCAAGTTTGTATTGAAGGCCGTGTAATAGGAACTATCGAAATTCTCCTTAGGATGTAAACCTAAGGCCTTGGTCACAACTAAATTGTTTGATCGATGTGCACAGTACATTGGAAAGAATGGTGTGGGAGTGTCTCTGAAAATCAAAATTTAATTATTAATATTACTTCGTTTCCACTTATTTAGCACACACATTAGAAGTGAAACAGTATATCTGTCTAAAGAGTCCGCTGTGCTAAACTTGTACTAGATAGTATATTTCAAATGAAGAAAAGAAAAATAATTGTAACCCAATATGTGTATACACGTTTATCCCGCAAAAGGTAGTTTTTTTTTTGTGTTTAACATAAAACTTCGTTATACCTCTTTAAAAAAGATGCAATATGCTCTATCATACCGCAAGCCATTTGTGCGTTGTAAATATTGTCACTGGCAGTAAACAAAGCCCAATAATTTTCATCGGCTCGTAACAATACCTGCAAAAATTTCATCAGAATCAATTGCACGTCTCATTTGTCTACAATAAGGTATATAAGAATGATTACTGCAGCATCTTCCTCGCTTAACGCATCGCAAACGACTATATTATCTGAATCTGTGCTTATTCTCAGTGAGCGGCAAACTTCGAAAAAGGCTTTTACCGTAACTAACAAAAAATAAAGATAAACATTGATGAGTCTTACTACTTTTTTTTGTTATTATTTGTTAAAAGCCTCGACATCTGAAGTTGTTGCCTGTATGTTACATAAATTTAACAACTTACCGTAGTCAACCTTGTCCGAGTCAATCTGAAATTTATTTGCGAATCTTTTCCTCAAACCATCGAATTCTGGACTTGCTATTAAATCATCAACGTTTTTTTGGTTTTTTATTCCAAAATCGTCTTTTTTTGGATCCTGTGTTCTAGCGTGTTCATTCTAGAGCATACAATTATTGTTATTTATATTTCTTTGACACTCCATGCAACGTTATTTAACGTACCATTAAAAGAAGGTCTTCCTTATGGCATGTTGGAATGGTTTCGTGGGGAAATGGTGTATCAAATACTGCTTCCAAAAATACTTGGGCACTCAACGTGGAACGTTTGTCACTTGGTTTATCTGGTATTGCCAATATCTATGATGTATAAATAAAATACTTAGCTAACCTAACCGTTTTATAGTATTTTTTACAGATATTTTTACCGGGTATTTTGCAGCATCATACGTATGGCTAAATAATCCTTGAAGCTTGGACTTTAACCTATGTGCGAGATCTTTAATTTCATTTTTGCCTGATTCAAGCAAAAATGGATCTTTGTTACGATCAATATCTGGCATCTGCCATTCAGCAAAGGCTTGAAGGAATTCGTTTTTTTCCACTGTATTATTTTTTAGGTTTTCTTTAATTGTTTGTTGGTATGATTTTACTAATTCGAAATTCGATGGTTTATCTCTTATTAAGCTTATTCCATTTCGTAGTAACATAAACGCCTTAGATGGATCAGTGCCTATACAGTCAGGCAGTAAAATTGCTTTTATTTATGCTTGATTTACATGGAATTAAAACGTTATTTTATAGAAGTAGAATAAACAATCTTGCAGTGATAACAAAATATGGTTTTGGTAGTTATAAAAAAATATATATTGTTCTATACGCCTATTAGAATAAAACATAATATCCTAATGTCCCAACTTATGTTTAACAACATGGCTTTGAAACAAGAACCAATACATATTATACAGAGTGATTCATTTAACGTAAAACACTCAATATTTCAAACAATTGTCATTTTGTAGTTTTTCTTGAATAAACGTTTGTTTATGTTATTTTACAATATATTATTACTTATATATTAATTTTTTTAGTATTTTACAGAAATCCACTGTACTGGCTTTTTTAAGTTAAGAATAATTTGATGAACATTTCTACTGGTCGACAACCAGGTTAGAACAATTACTTTTAAGTTATTGAAGTTCAAACTGTAGAACCCTATTTGCCGTCATACATTTAGAACTTTAATAACACTTAAAATCATTTTTCAGAACTAATTATCGGCTAGTAAAAAAATGTTATGTAAATTATTCGTAACTCAAAACGTTACTAAAATACATTAAACTTAACTATTTAAGTTGTTAAAGTTTATAAACTTAAAGAATTTACCAAAAAAATGATAATCATCTGAATAATGTTTGATTGATAAATGTCGCCAAAAAGAAAAATTTGTAATTACTTTTAGAGAAAACAAGTGTGTTTCGGTTACGTTAAATCATAAATCTGTCTATGAATATATTTTTCTCTAAGCCCATTGATATTGTTTTGTACATCCAGTTATTTTTTTAATCGTTCACAAGTTGTAAGAAAATAAATCATAATTTTCAAATTATTGTTAGTGTAGTGTAAAAAAAAACTACATATTTTTGTATTAATTCCGAGACTGGTTTTGAACTCAGCCAAGTGTAGTGTAAACATGCTAGAATACCATAAAACGGTATTTTTTTTACAACTTCTGAGGCGATTAAAAAAAAAATGAAAAATACATTAGCTACCAACTACTATGAACTTTTTTTTACTACCCACAACGAGCCATTTTGAATTTTTTAAATAAGTAACTAGTTTTTATTATTTTTGGTGGCTGTTTGTAGAACTTACAAAATTTTAAAATTTTACAATAATTTAACTTTCAAAACCTATCAGTGGTTTGACGTAAACTGCATTACCTGTGTGAATTTTAATATTTACTATGTGACAATAAGTCTGTCTGTCAGCTTTAAACCTAGTTTTGTAATACTCACCAGGTGGTAGTTCAAGATCTCCACTGTTGAGATCTCGGTATCGGGTTTTGGAGCTAACTAGCCTATTTTGAAATGCATTGACTATGGCTACTGTTAACAGCAAAGAAAGAATACACAAGTACTTCGACATCGTATCAACTGAAAATAAAAATATTCGAATTAATACTATAAGTAAATCGATTAGCAATTTCATAATACTTAAACAGTTTTATACGTTACCTTTAAGTACAATACAATAGTTATAGCGCAAATTAGTACTGTTTTACTAATACTGATTTCTATCGTCCTCCGGCTTACCTTATATACCCAAAATTCAAGATAGTCAGGTGTAAACAAAACACATAGGCTAAATTTTTACGGCGAAAACATTTTCCTTTGAAGCGTCTTAAACAAATAGTAAAACATTGGAAATTGCGAAAACGCGTCGCCAAATTTAGAATGATGTTTTTATCGAGAAAAAGAACGGTACGATTTATGCGAAAAATATTTGCTTTGGTTGTTTTTTATTTGCATAAAAAGCACCTTATTGAGGACAATCGAAAAAAACACATCTAGAAAAACAAAATTGTTTTTCGTGTAGGTAATTGTATCTTAAATTATTACAATAATAGTAAAAAGTCAACTGATCTTATAATATATTCTAATATATTATTTTAAAAATATTATGTTTCTTTTAAACGCCATTTTATATGGAATTCAAAATTAACCAGAGAAGTGTCAGGAGTTTGCAGAGAGAGAGAGAGAGAGAGAGACCCACATTCAATCTTGCTCCGGGGGGGGGGGGGGGTTGAGTAATGCGCCTAGATAAAAACATCTATACTCTCCACCCTTCCTCCGGTCCTAAATTTTAAACTAAAAAGTATATGAAATTCGTCCCAACTAATAACTATAAAATAATTTAAAAAAGTCTTATATCTTCTAAGTTAATGACTGGTCCATAGTTAACCAATCACCCAGTACAATAAATACCTATGATATATTACTTATTCATAATTTTTTTTTTTTTTGGCTCTTGGGGGGGGGGGTGGAACCCGTAAACACCCCTCGTAAGTACGCCACCGATCAAGTCTGTTTTCCGAAAAAATAAATGTAATTTGTTACCTATCTAATATTTTTTAACAGTCCGCTAAACTTTAGTTGTTATTAACATAATATAATCATAATAAAGTCAGGTTTAAATAATGAAGGTGGTTAATATACCATTTTTCAATAGGGAAAAAAAATACAAATGCGTTTTATTTAATTGCGTGTAATCTGTTTGAAAATATACATAAACATGACACGGCAAAATTATTGGGATTCAACGCCACTCACTAATGAACTTAATAGGTTAAGAAAATTATGCTGGAGTAGATTATATTGAATTAATTTTATGGTTAGCATGTTTGTTTTGAAAAAAGTGGAGTTAATCAATCTAAAAGGGTCGGGAAAATGTTTTCAATTTGTATTTTAACCGTATTTTTCGGAATTAAAATTAGACTTAAAGCAGATGTCTTCTTTAAGTCATCATTACAATTTACATGTAAAATTGGTTTTATACATTTTATTCCAATGGAAACATATTTTTATAGGGATCAAAAAATACTGTTACTTGAAAACAATAATAATATTGTGCATAATAAAATAAAAACAAATGGCAGCATATTGACCTACATAGAACAAAAAAATAAGTTGTTTTTCAGTGAAATATTTTCACATTCGAAACATTTGTACAAACAAACAAAATTTTTACAACGACAACAACAACGGTAGAAAAGACAAAAACAATTTCGTTTTAACAGCAATGGAATAGATTTTCATAAAATATCTGTTTATATATATTGTATTTAATGTTATTGTAAATTGAGAGAAATTTATAAAAATACCGGTTTTGATAATAAAAATTAAGTAATTAATATAATTAAAAATGATTAGCAGTATATTTTGGTACATTGTAAAAAAAAAACCAAAATGTTACCGATAAAATAATAATATTATGTTATTTAACAAACAATAGTACATTTGAATACATTTTTTTTTTTATTAACCCCATAATTAGAAAAAAAACTAAGTTACCTACTAAGAGTAATCTATTAAATAATAATATGGCCTTCGACATGTTTGAAAACTTATATTTTACAGTTAAAATAGTTTAAGAAATAGAAATTATTTTGATACTTCCCATCACGCATTAAACCACTTTTGTATTTACCGATAATTAATTATTATTATTTTCAATAAAAATCGCCCAAAATAATCAATAAATATGTTCGCTATGAAGCTTTAATTACAGTAGGCCAAAATGTGAATGTTTTGAGGCTGATGTATGTTTTTTTAATTATTATTTTTACGGTACAATAGTTGGAATTCACATTTATTGTATGTAAATAACGAACACACTCCACGCTGGAGAACTCGTTTGCTATGCAGATGCCACGGCCCTAATCGTAACAGGTGACACTCGGGAAGACGTTTTTCACAAAATCCACACAGAAAATAGTTTATTAAAACATATTTTATTTTACCACATTCGGCTGATTGCAATACCCTACTATTGTCCCATAATCTAAAACGAATAGACCACGTCAGTTCACTGACTACAGAAATAAAGAAACTCCTCTCCCAGATCAACAACTTGGATCTATTTTAATCAAAACACCCAAGTATAACAGTATATTACAAGGCGCTAGTAGAACCAACACTGACTTAGGATGGCATAATTGCGCATGGGGTGCAGCAAATAAAAGTAATCTTAATAAATTACAAATTACACAAAATAAGTACAATCTGAAATAAAACCCGTGACTTTCATGTTGATAACTTATAATATGATAAAAGTTCTCAGTTACAACTTTTATATAGGGTCGATGCTGCGATAGTCCGAAACATGACCGTTATGGATTCAGGGGGGGGGGTCCGGGTTCAACCCCCCCCCCCCCCGAAATTTCATCGAAAATGATTAGCATTACCTTTCCTTTATGTCTTTTTTTTAAAATATGTATTCCTGAAAATTATGTAAAAAAAAGAAAAATATTTTGATGTAAGTTTTCTTTTAACTTTAAAGCTTAAAAAATAATTAAATAATAATAAATACGTGATATTATCGTTATCGCCTGCTTAGGCTTATGGACGCGCCAATGAATTTTAGTTTTTTCGAATTGAAAATGGTATTATTATTTTTTAAATGATGTTGTTTTAAAATCAAACTCAGAAACGCCTGTCACTCGGGTTAACCTATTGTAAATTTTTTAATTTAATAAATATATAATTTATACAGTAAGTAAATTCAGTAAGTTGATGTATTCATTTTTTTTAATATTGATAAATATAAGTACAAATTTATGTTGTATTCTATTTACTTTAACAATAAAGTCTAAGTAAATTGTTATACATTCGTTTATATATATACCTAAAAAACTGATATGGTTCTATTTAATTAAAATCCTAATTATTATTTACTAGTTTTATCATAAAATAAACCCCCTCCCCAAAAAAAATAATGATTGCTGGATACGGCCAATGGCCCGAAGTATAGGCTAAATTTTCTAAGCAATCTGTGTTATGCATTGAACGTGAGATGTCTACTAAACGAATAAACTATACCATGTGTCTTAATAAATAAAGAACAGAGAGACGGATTGCTTTCTTTAAGTCTTATAATATAAAACAATTGTTCTATACTATTATAAATCTAAACACTGACAATTGTCCTACATTTGTAATTGCTCGAGTATGAAAAATAAACCACCCCAACATATAATAATAATAATCAAATTCGTTTCAGCTTTGGACACTTCGAATAAAATATAACTAGGTCGATATTAAAGTTGTTGTTCGCGTTTCGAGTAACATATATATTTCTTATTTTTTTCATCGGTGTATGATTCAGAGGTAACTGTTTAAACAAGCATACAAAACATCACCCCGAAATATGTTTTTTTTCTCGTTTCGTTAAATAAAACACACAACTTAAAACGTGTTTTCGTGTAAGAAAGAAAGTATACCTATACAATTATTTAGAACGGAAGAAGAATAAATTTAGGGTGGAAAATTAATCCTGCATACTTAGAAATTTCTAAAAGCACATTAACCAAAAATAAAACCCAACACATCATCATCAATTATTGGAAACCTAAATTTGGGCCTCTGGTTAAAAAATTCTGTTGTACACGTTAGAAAAATATCAATTAATTTATAAGAGAATTTTTGGACATGCCCTGCCCAAATATTTTTTATATAAGAGTTTCTCTATAATAGTTGATGCATAATATATTTTTATTACTGTTCAATTATTGTTGGATCAATAATATTATATATATATATATATATATATATATGGTCGACACAAAGTCCAAAGCACGAACAATTAATTAAATCGATTGAACTAATCTTATTCCAATACTAATTATACACTATGATGATGCTGTGTTTATATAGTAAAAAGAAATAACACTAATGATATAAATTATTTATATAGGTATGTCACATGGAAACAGTGATTTTTAATTATAAATGTATAATTTATTAATAACAAGTACACAAAATTTAAGCCACTAAAACGACTGAGCTTTTCTGTGAACGCTAAACCTCCCTTACTTGCTCACCCTACAACTGTGCACGTAAGCCTATGTACATGCCTTATAAGCTAAGCAGAAGAAATGATTTTATTGACAAAGAAAAATTATGATACATATTATATAAATAGTTAATTGTGTGTTTATTATCAAGTAAAAATATTTCAAAAAAAATGTTATTACACAACTAGCAACATAATATAAACATAAAGGTTCATTAATTTTAATAATAAAAATCTGAATATAAATTATACACACATAATATAATTATTTATTGTTTAAATATTAATAGAAAAATAAACAAAATATTCTAAATAATTAAAATGTACGGTTTGGTTATGACGACTCAATAGCCGTAGCTTGAGACTGAGCGATCGGACCCGACTGTTTGTCTTGATACATATCAGTTTTGATCGTAATCGATTGCGTACAATCGTTTGTTTTGTAAATGCCAACTAATAAATTGGCTCTTTCAAACATGTTCGAACGCAGCGAAATAATAATAAACTGAGAATTTTTCGTCCTCTCCTGTAAAACAAAAAAAAAAATCAACTAGTACAAACATGTTTTTTGTAAAAGCTAATAAAAATTTTTTTTTTTAAAAAATGTGCATAATTTTTACCTTTATATAGTATGCGATTATCGATACATTTTTAAAATCTAAAGCCGCATCAATTTCATCCATGACGTAAAGCGGCGACGGTTTGTAATAGTGCAGAGCGAAAACGAGCGCCAAAGAAGATAACGTCTTTTCGCCGCCAGATAAATTCGATATTACTTTCCAAGTTTTTTTCGGAGGCCTCACGCTAGGGGAAAAAACCAAAAATTAAATTTTTAACCAAACAACAACAATTTCTTTCCATCTTGTTCACATTGTTCAGTGCCGTACCTGAAATTAACGCCTTCGCTAAACGGATCTAACGAGTCGACCAACTCGAGTTCGGCATCGCCACCCAATGTTATCATCTGATACATTTCTTTCAGCTTGATGGTGATTTTCCTAAACGAAGCCATAAATTCGTCCTTCCTCCGTTGTCGCACTTTGTTTATCATGTCGGCGTGATCGTTGTACGTCTTTAATACTTTAGCCACTTCGTCTGCTTTTTCATTATATTGTCTCGTCTATGAAAATTAGAAACAACAAATTAAATAATACAACAAACAAATATTAGTAACCACGAAAAAAAAAAAAAATAGAAAGAAAACATACTCTGTTTTGATACTCTTCAAGTATTCCAAAATTAGGTTTTTCTTTTTTCAACTCTTCGGTCAACGTACACAGCTTCAAGTTGAGATCTTTGTAGTTTAATTCTTCCAACTCTTCGTCGGTGTATTGAATTAGCTCTTTGTCGTTCTTGTCTTCGTCCTCGACGTCTTCTTGGTTTTTGTCTTTTTCTTGAACATCCATGTCATCAGCGGAATCTTTGTTTTCTTGTGGTTTGTCGGCAGTTTCTCCTTCGTTACCATTCTTGTCGGCCGCACGATTTTGATACGATTCCAAGATCGGATCTCTTTGAGTGTTGTCAATACGCGGAATATCGTGAAGTTTCAATTTTTTCAACTTTCGTATAAAAAGAAAAAAAACAAAATTAGTAAGTAACAAATACAGTGTTTCCCGGGTAGGCCTTAGACACATTACACTGGCCTGAGATCTTACAGAGTTCTTAATATGTTTACGATGGTCGGACAGTTTTGCTTTTTCGGAATCAGAAACGTCCAAGTCTTGAGTTAATTTAACTTTGTCTTTGCGCAACTCGTGACTCCTGCGAAGACTTTCATCGTCCTTATTCTTGATCTCGTCTATGCTTTTCTTTTGCTCGTCAACGTCGTTCTAAGAAAATGTAATAAAACAAAATTATAATTTTTAATTGTCAAATAATTTTGTGTTCAGGAGACCAAAAATATGTGAAGATCCTTAACTTCTATTGCAATATAACTCGATGCATACGTTTCGTATTTACTTACATTCATTTCTGTTAATCTTTCGTTTAATTCGGCTATAACATCTTCATTTTTTTTCAATTTTTCTTTAAAAGATTCTATTCTGTTATTGCCTTCTACCACGTCGCCTTGTAATGTCTCGATTTGTCCTCGAGATTTCTTTATTTGTCTGTCAAACAAAGATAAACAACTTAAAATTTATAAAAAAAAAAACTCGCACAACCTAAGCGCCATACACGGTTGTCAAGGTGTATTTTATACCTTTCAGCTGCTTGTATGTCGACGTTAACTTGATTGATTTCACTACGAGTTTTTTCCAATTTAGCGGTCGCTTCGTCCAAAAGTCGTTTAGCTTCTTTCGGCAAACCTTCTGTAATTTCTTCAATTTTCTGTTTCAGTTTGTCCGTTTTGGACTTGATCTCGTTGTATTCTTTATTGGCTTCTTCCAATTCTGTAAAATATATGTAAAAAATAAATAGGTAATAAATATTTTAATAAATTTACATTACCTTTTTCGGCTTTTTTAATTTCTGCCTCCTTTTTGGCAACTGCGACTGGGTCGGTTTTCTTTTGTACGATTACAAGTTTTTGCGCTTCAATCAATTTGTTAACTTGATTCTCTTTTTCTTTCCACGCCTAATAAAAAAAAAATATATATATATTATTTAAGTTCCCACTTGTCGTAGTGGTCGGCAGTAAACACTTACGTTAATACGCGATGAACACTGCTTGACAATCATGTTTAGATCGGTGATTCGTCTACGATTCTGCTCTACGCCGGCCTGATTGTCGTAAATGCTCGTCTGAGTGTTCCTCAGGTTTTGTTCCAAATCTTTGGCGATTTTATCCAACTTTTCCACTTCACTTTGGCTGACTTGACTCGCAGAAGTGTTGGCACATCTCGATCTAGTTTCTTGCGGTCCGATCTTACCTTTGATTGGTCTTCCGCCTCCCGACATGATACCTATTATTCAGACACGAAAACAAATTAATTTTTTCAAAATAGTTTTTCGATTTTTAATGCAACAGCGTCAATTGTCTTTTACCCGACTGATCGATCAAATCTCCTTTGTAGGTGACCACTCGGTAACGAGTTTGGGAACCAAATGCTATACGTCTCGCCTGATCGATGTCGTTGGCCAATAGCGTATCATATAAACCAGAATAAAATGTCATTCTGAAACGTTGATCCAGTATTTGAATAAAATCGAATATTCTTTTCGCATTTTCTGGGCTAAAAAAAAAACAACAAAAATCAATTAATTAATACATTAAAACTTCCTTGAAGGAAAAATTAAGACTCGTAATAGCGACGTTTAACGTTAAATAATATATTATCTCTTACTAATTGTTGTTGGCGTCGGCACGAGGTTTTAGCTTTTGTATTTGTGGCAAAATGGAAAAAGTCAAACGTCCAATTTTGTTCTGCCTCAGTTTTTGAATACAAGCGTGAGCGGCGTCCGACGATTCGACAACAATCTGATCGGTAGAACCGCAAGCCGTGCAAGCGGGTATGTCGTATTTACCTTCTACCTGACCGTAATCTCCCTGATGTGAAAACAAAATACATAATCAAGATAAATTCTATATATTTTAATAGAAACCACATCTCACAGACAACAATCACTCACGCATCTTCCGAGAATTCCCCGTATTTCTCCGCTGTCTTTGAATGTTAAAATATACTGTATTGGCCGACTCCGTTCAGTGGTTTCGGCGTAGGCCGATCTTTTTTCCGTCAGACTCTGTCGTATGTTTTGCAATTTCTGTTTCATTTGTTGTTCGTCTTTTTGTAACTTATCAATGTTTTTCTCCATTTCGGCAATTAGCTTTGCACAATTTCGAATGTCTTCTTCGGCATTTTCTTTTTTTCTATTCAAACGAGGGCACACATCAAATAATAGCATCAACAATTATGACATAAGAATTTAACACGATAAATACCTTATATTTTCTTGGTATTCTTCGGAACCACTGGTCAATTGTTCTTCGAGTTTTCTCAATTTCTCTCGTTCAGACTTTTCGGTATCTAGAAGAACTTCGAATTGGGTTTTCAAAGTTTGAAACTATAACAAACAACGATATAATATATTACACATACATAATATTGTATTCAAACTATTTTCTCGATAATAACAATTATTACCTGATTCTGTTTGCTGCCGACAAGTTTTTGCAGTTTTAATTCTTCTGGCGCCAACGCGTCTTTTTCTTCTCTAAACTTTTTCGATTTTTCAAATCCGCTCGAATTCACTTTAGTATAATTCGCCTCGAGCTTCACACACTCTTCTTCTAATGGCGCCACACTGGACTGCAAACGCTTGAGTTCGGCTTCTTTTATTTTCGGCACTCCTTGAGCTTTGGTAATCTGTTCATAACCAAATTAGAGTTTAACAATCAAGAGCTCATTTTAATTAAATATTGTTATAAACTGTAAATGTTGAACACATTTTTAAATTAATAGACGTCAGCGTCAATATCAACATTTCAATATGACATCGCCATTTTTTTTTGATAATGATATTTAAAAAAACATATTGTACAAATATTAATTGTAAGACCAATGGCAACATTTACTTTGTTTTCTTCGGTCTTGATCGATTTCTCATACTTCTTAATGTGTTCTTTTGTCTGCACCAAGTAGTTTTTAAGTTCTGAGTCCTCATTCATAAGAACTTTTAATTTTTTTTCAACACCGTCCTTTTTTTTTAAATCCGCTTTTAACTTTCTGTAATATTTAATTCAAAATGTATTATAAGTAATATAATCGATAATAAATAAATTTTTCTAAGAACAATCTATTTAATTTGTTGGAAAAAATACATACGACCAAATAAAGACACATAATAATGAAGTAATATGAAAACAACTAAAATGGTATTTCAAGGAACTCACTCAGTAAGATTGCGCAAAACGTCTTCTTTATCTTTCTTACTCTCGGCTATTGTTTCAAGTTCTTCTTCTATAGCTCTTAATTTTTCCTTTATTGAATTTTGATCTTCCGTTTTATTCGCAATTTGTTTGTTCACTTCAGATCTTAAAAATTATTTTAAAATAAAAAACCCAACAAGACGACATATTTATTAACATAAAAAAAAAAAAACTAAATACTTACAATTGTTTTTGAAATTTTTTGTTTTCAAATTGGGCCAACTGGTTTTCCATTCTCAAATATCTAATAGCCGTTTCCACTGGTTCTATGAGTTCGTCTCTTTCTTTTGCAATAAACTTTAAACGACTTATTTTTTCATTTTTCTCTTCGCCCAAAACTTGCATTTTTTCGGCAAGTCTTTCAAGTGGTTTCTAGAGCAAAATCAAAGTTGTAATACAAATTTTACCCCCAATGTTTTGTTTTAAAACCTTATATCGAGCGGTACCAATGACGTCTTCTAAATACTCGAGCATACCAGTCGAATGTTCATTTTCCGCTTTGGGCTTCATCATGGCTATTTGTTCCACTTCTCCCTAAACATAAACCAAGCTATTTAATACAATAAACAACAGTATTTGATAATAATAAATAAATACAAAACCTGTAGAATAAGAAAACGATTATGAATCAAGTCAATTCCGTTTTTCTTCAACACAGTTGCTACTTCCTTGAATTTTACACGTTTATTGTTCAGAGTGTAATTGGAAGTGTTGTCTTTAAATGCTGTACGAGTAATTGCCACTTCCGAACCGGGCACGGCATTGTAACCCGTGTCTTGATTGTCCTGGATAAAAGACATCAAAGTTACAAAGTACACTCGAATAACCAAGTCGGCTTGAATCAAATAATTACGTCATCGTTGATTTGCACGAAATGTACTGTAACGGAACACTGACGGAGATCTTTGTGGCGATCCGATTTGTGTATCAAAACGGAGACTTTTTTCGAACGGATCTTTGTTGAGCGGTATCCAAAGACAAACAACAGAGAATCGATGACGTTACTCTTGCCGCTGCCGTTGGCGCCGACGATACTGGTCAAACTCTAAAAGTCAGACACACTTGTGTGAATATAGGCGGGTATGAGTAAGTAGTAATGGGTGGTTAGATGTGTGTGTACAACAATCGTGCGAGTTCATTATTTGGTTACATGCTAAAATGCTTAGACACAACACTGACAAAAAAACACAACGATTTTGTCACAAACATCTTGGAGGGGAAAATTGTGGGTAAACGACCAAGAGGAAGACCCAGACAATCATACTTCAACAAATGGGTTTCACTTTATACCAACACTTGAAGAACACGGCACGTGATAGAGAAGTTTGGTTACAACAACGACAAGGCCTTGCCTTTAGAAACTGATGACAACAATCGTACCTTGTGGAACGGACCGATGGTGACTTCGCCGTAATAGCTTTTGAAATTGTTGGCGACAATGTGAGTGATGATCATACGAGGACCGGCCGTCTCCTCTGCCGACCGGATCGGTGGCAATTCTGCTGGGATTCGGATGCCGTTGAATACTTCACCAGAGTCTTCGATGTCGGACAGGTCGTCGTCGGAGAAATCGCCGGCTTTTTCCTTTTCTTGCCGGATCTTCTTGTTCTTGGACGGCGTGTCATGATGGTTGTTGCCCTCCTTGTCCTTTCGTTTTACCGCCATCACATCGGTGCGTCGATTGCTCAAACTTCAATAACTTACTTCACAGACTTGCCGCACGGTAAAAATTCGACGCGTTCGGATAATGTAAATAAATGGCGGTTATTTTCATTATACTACAGTGAGCTGTTGTGAATTTCGATTAGTGATAACAGATGTGTACACTGATAAGGAAAAACGGTTTGCCGCCATAGTTTAGTAGCGCAAGCCGACGCGCAGTGCTGCAAACGTGACGGACGAAATATGGATAATAGACAAATTTAAATGGAAATAACAAAATATTTCAATTATTTTACACTTATAAACAAAAAAAAAACCATTATTAATAGATAGTTAAAAAATTCTTTAAATAAAAACTGTTCATTATAAAAATTCGAATAACGACTTAAAAAAATGTAATGTTTTGTTTAACTTTTTTTATCTGAACAAATTTTGCAATTGGATGAATTAGCAAATAAAATTGGCAATAATAATTCGAATAAAAATAACTCTTTTAAATAACAAAAAAATGAAAAAGCTATGAGAAAAATTATCATAGTGAACCCGTGAAGTTAATTTAGATTAGGTTAACTTGGGGAAACTTCAGTTAGGCTAACTTCGGTTTTTTTTTTAATCTCAACCTAACCTGACCCAATCAATATGGATGTGTGGTGTAAATCCTATCATGAGTTTACAGTGACTGTAATTAAAACCCGGTATAATGGCATTAATTGGAACTCTAAATTTGAAGAATATAATTTTTTTTACAATTATTGTTCTGGCAAGGAAATGGTAAAAATGTTGTCGTAAACATGATAGGTATGAAAGGTAGGTATCCTATTTCTCACCATACTATATGAAACATTTTTTTTTTTTTAACTAATATTTAATTTTAAGATTTTTTGGAAACCAATTGTATCTTGTAATATATCATATATTTTAAATACTTTATTTTAAAAAAAATGTTTAAAATAATTTTGCCCATCCAAAATTATCGTCGTCCGAGTCGCCGGTGATGTCCAAGTGGACGTCGTCGTCCGTGGACAACGATTCCTGGACGGCGGCCGCGCTGGACTCAGCTGACTGCCTGGTGACCTTTTCGGTTATCACGGCCCATTGTGGGACCATCTGGAGTCTAGGCGGAAAGCTGGCCAAACTCCTGACCACCAGTGGCGGATCCAGGGGTTGTCCAAGGGGGGGGGGGCGAATTTTAGTTTTCTGTAGGTATAATAAAATTACCTTTTTTGATTTTTACATTTTATTAATTGTCTACAAAATATGTTACAATGTATTAATTATTTTGATTAGTTATTTTTTAATTAATCATTATTAATTCAGTTTAATTTTGACCCGATAAACTTTCATAGAAAATAGCTACAACAAGTTTGTTTAAACATCAAATACATACTTATAATTAAGGAAAGTACAATACTCAGATATTTATAATATAAAATCGATGCAGCTTTTTTTTTTTATTTAGCAAATCTTTCAATAATATCATCTACATTTAAGGGAATTCAATACTGGCCGTTTTTTTTTTCCAGTTAAAACACATCATTTTTTGTCCATCGCACAGGCCGAACCAGTAATTTGAATTCGCCATGAATTTTACTTAGGATCGGTAAGGGTGCTTTTTTCAATTTTTAATTTTAACTCTTTTCCAAAGTTGATTTTAAAATTTGAAATTTTAAAATTTTACAAAAAGTACGCTGGCCGATCTCAAGTAAACTTCAAGACGAATTCAAATCTGATTTCAGCGACCGAACAAAAAATTGACTATTATATTAACTAAAATGGCGGCTTTTACTCATAGACAAAATGATTTAAATTGAAAATAATACCATGAAGCTTATTCAAATTAACAGGTAAATTATTTGACATGGTCGAAATTTATTACAACCACTTTTTTCTTAGGCCAAAACTGGGGCCAAGGGAGGGGGGCGATCGCCCATCGCCCTCCCCCCTCAAATCCGCCACTGCTGACCACCGCTACACAACAATACATATTTTACATTTTACTATGGATATAAATACAACTAATGTATAAGTTCCTAATACAATAAATTATATAAAATATAAAATTCTTAACAAACCGCACAGCTAGCTACCGTAAGTATATAATATGCTACACGCGTGTACAGTTATAACAAGCCAAGCCAAGTACAATACTGCAAGCGTCCATCAGTCAAACGTTTACTGCAGAAACAAATAAGCTTATTATAATATCATGATGTTTTTTTGGCCGTGCTACCTCAGATATATGTGTGTGTTTTAATTATAATTGTTACCAGCTGGTAGCGATCGCCCCTCCCCCCCCCCTTGGTCCGAGTTTTGGCCTAAGAAAAAAGAGGTTGTAATAAATTTCGACCGTGTCAATTAATTTACCTGTTAATTTGTATTCGTGGTATTATTTTTAATTTAAATCATTTTGTCTATACGAGTAAAAGCCATGTAAGTTAAATATAACAGTACTTTTTTTGTTTAAAATCAAATTTGGAAAGGGTTTAAATTAAAAATTGAAAAAGTACCCTGACCGATCTCAAGTAAACTTCATGGCGAATTTAAATTACTTATCGAATTACTGGTACGGCCTGTGCAATGAACAAAAAACGACGTGTTTTTACTGAAAAAACGGCCGCTAACGAATCCTCTTAAATGTAGATTATATTATTGAAAGATTTGCTAAATAAAAAAAAAAAGATGCATTGATTTTATATTATAAATATCCGAGTATTGTACTTAATTGCAAGTATGTATTTGATATTTAAACAAACTTGTTGTAGCTATTTTCTATGAAAGTTTATTGGGTAAAAACTAATACTGAATTAATAATAGTTATAATTAAAAAATAACTAATCAAAATAATTAATACGTTGTAACATAATATTTTGTAGACGATTAATAAAAAGTAAAAAACAAAAAAGGTAATTTTATTACAGAAAATGAAAATTCGCCCCCCCCCCCCATTGAACAACCCCTGGATTACCATTATATCAAAATGTTCGTACTCACTATAATAATACAAACGAAAAACACACTGACCTTTGGTTTTGTAACGTGTAAATAGCACTGGTGATGCTTAAGTACGAGTACTCGAATAAATCCGACACTGATTAATATCTAATATGTATAACGAGACATATATGTTATATATATATATATTATATATGACAACATTGCCGTGAACTTAACAGTTTTCAGTGTAATTCCAGATTTATATTGACTATTGTTTCACATAAACGTGTTCCTTATACTATATGTACCTAACAATATGCTAATCCATTATATTTTTTTAACGCTCAATGTCACAAAGATAACAAACAGATAGGTATCATAAAACAACGGTTTTGATGAGAGTATAATATCATCGTAATGATTTTATATTACCATACCTACAATTTATGTGGATACGATAAGGGTTGATCGTCTGTCTATACAATTTTACCGTCATAATAGTTACTCATATATATATATATATATCATATTAACAATATAGTAAAAATATTTTCATTACCTGTTCACTGTTGAGATTCACTCGCACATAGAGCAACTTAGAGAAACTGACGACTAAAGTAGTGTAAATTTATTACCCTATTTTTGGTGTTTTTCCGAGAAAAAAAATTTCAATACAGATTTTTGAGAAAATTGTATACGTTATAGATCCATTTTAGATCTACCTTAAGTCTAATTTTCAGATCTAAATCTCTAAAACTGTGCTTGAAAAAATGTCTATCCCTTCTATGGGGAAAGGGTTTATGATATTTTTTATGGGGTTTGTTAATGTTTATCGATAGTACTATGTTCGGAGAACAATTCATATAAATTTGCAACATTTTCTAAAAAAGTTATGGAGCATGGTAATTTTAAGTTGAGAAATTTGTACATTTTTTGGGGGTTTTTCTCGATTTTGACGGGGGAAGGGGTGACTTTTTTCAAAAAATTTCGGCCCCACAAAGTACTTTACAGGCGGTGGCGGATACAGGAGTTGTTCAAGGGGGGGGAGGGGCGAATTTTCGTTTTTTGTAGGTATAATGAAATTACCTTTTTTGTTAATCGTCTACAAAATATTACGTTACAATGTATTAATTATTTTTTAATTAATTATTATTAATTCAGTTTTAGTTTTGACCCAATAAACTTTCATAGAAAATAGCTACAAGTTTGTTTGAATTCAAATACATACTTGCAATTAAGTAAAGTACAATATTCAGATATTTATAATATAAAATCAATGCATCTTGTTTTTTTCTTCAGCAAATCTTTCAATAATATAAATGTATGTATACCATGTTAATTTTTGTCCTTTGTGGCATCATTTTTGAAAAAATCAGTTTTTCAGTTTATACACTTGTGCATCAAAGCAAATAAATATCCAAACCATTATCGACGAAACACAAAATTATTAGTTTTAGAAGAATAATACGTAATACATGTATTACAAATTAATACACACACACTCTTGTACGACGACTAAATTGGTTTTTGTGTAAAAAAAAAAGAAAAAAAAAAGAAGTATGTATAATTTTTTTTATCATCACTAAAGATACAATATTTCACACTGTAGAAAAAATATACAACAGTTGTCCAATTATATATCGTGTAAAGTTCATTATAATTATATTATAGAACGGATTTATTTTTTTTAAATACAATACATACAATATATTATATAATAATATCGACCAATGAAATACTAATATACTATTTGTTGCGTTAATAAAAAAAAAAAAATTATTACAACGGAAAAATTAACAGTAGTAGGTACAGTACACAACAGCATATAACTGTACATGATTATTACCTGGTTCGAAAATAGTCCCAATTTTATTGGCGGGCAGTACGAGAGTTGTTTATTAAACAAAAACCAAAAAAATTTAATTATATTTAAACACGAAACTTTAACAGAATATACTCCCACGAAAACAATTAAATATTTGTCAATTACAAATTCAGTTTAATTTCAAATACGGAAAACTGCGTAAATGTTTTGTGACCCAACTACTGATTTTTGAAACCTGCCATCGTATTTACTCGATTTTCCCGGTTATTTACTGCTATGTGAAATCCAACATGAGTGTAGAGGCTGGCTTTTTAGGTAGTTATATAATATGTACTTTTTTTTTTTTTTTTTTTTACATTATCTTAATTTTTCCATTTTTTTGTTTCTTTTTTTTTCGTATTATTTCAAATTTTAGAATTAAAATATATTTTTTTTTTTCAATGCGTTAATTTTTTTTTTTACTCGTTATAAAAATCCTAATTTTCCTTTTTTTTTTTTTTAATATAAATTTTTTTTATGAAAAAAAACCCTAAAAACTTAAAATATTTATGTAAAGAATGATGATGGTTTTTTTTTTCGAGCGTCGCACACATTCTATTCTTTTTTCACACCAGTTTGTTGCGCTTGATGAGCTTGAAGCACGGCGACGGCCTCTTCGACTTTGCTCTTCAAAGACTCGTGATGTTCCAACATGTGAAGCAAATCCGAGTTGTCGATCTCCAACAACATTCCAGTGATTTTACCGGTCAAGTCGGGATACATACGCTGAAAAAAAATTGCAATAAATCATTACAACGTTGCAACATTTCTTGTCCAAAGACGGCGATTATTTACCTGGATAAGCGGGAACAATCGTTCACCCAACATTTGTTTCTGGTCTTCAGGCTGAGCAGTGGCCAACATAGTAGCCGTAAGCGGCTCTTGTCCGTGAACGTGCACAGCAGCTTGTACAGGTGCAGGCGGCTGGCCTGGCTGCGCTTGTCCCATGCCTTGGGCTTGTCCCGGTGGATTGCGCATGTTGGCCGTGTACTTGTATCCGGCGCCGGTACCTCGGGCTCCGGGAACGCGTACTCCTCCGGCCGGGACAGCACCGGGCATTTGTTGTTGAGCCGTGCTGATTGGTCTGGCATTTCTGTCCACCATTGTGTTTCTGGCCATGGCCGCTTGTTGACCGGCGGGAACTGGAGCTCGTGCGCCAATGTTTCTGTATTGTGTGGCCATGTTGGGATAACCTGGAGAAAATATTACAATTATAATGTAACTGAAATTGTATTTATATGGATATTATCAATTGGATTTTGCCACATTAATTTTAATTCATCAAGTCTTTTAGAATAAATAAATTAAGTTTTAGGGTAACCGGTAAATATAAATTTGAGGACAAAAACAATTAATTCAGTTTTATACTTATTAAATTCTTTAGTTGAAAAAACTTGACAAACATTTTGGTCCAACAAACTTGAATTAATTCTTTTACTTTGCCCAACAGCTATACCACCGATGGACAATACTAATAATAATATAATCAAATTTTACCTGCAGCGGCTGCTTGAGGAGCGCCGGCTCTGACTTGAGGTTGTGCAGCCCATCTTGGTTGTGGACGAATCTGAGTCATTTGAGTGGGCCCGTAGAAACGTTGTGGTTGTGGAATTGTCGGCACAAAGTAACCACTCGAGCCACCGGGTTGATAAATCTACACACAAGTTTAGTTTTTTTTATTAACTAAAAATAAAACCTAACTTAGTATAAAAGATGTACATAATATTATGCTTTGCTTTTACAATAATATTTTCAACAAAAACTTACCGGACCGATGGACTGCATACGGATATTGGTGTTGCGCTGCAAGTATTGAGAGTCCAGATGGGCTTTACGGTCTTCTTTGCGCTGAGCCAATGCAACGTACAACGGTTTGGTACCGACAATACGGCCGTTCATATCGGTGACTGCTTTAGTAGCTTCTTCCGGCGACGAGAAACATACAAATCCAAAGCCTTTGCTACGACCATCGTCCATCATAACCTAAGGGAAGTAAACAGAATATAAATAATTGTTTTTTTTTTTTAAATTATACAGCCATTAACTATTAATATTACAGCTAAAACACAAACACTATAAAAGAAACAATATTTAAATTAATGAGTGGGGTTATATTTTAATATTTATTTTACTTCTGTTTAGCAGAGAAATTAAACGGTGTAAAAGAAGGGGATGGATGTTTAGAGTAAGAAACCTGTTCTTATTTTGGTTCTACAAACTGTTACTTGTGGAAATGTAATTCTTATCAGATATTAGGTCGACATCAAAATGTTTCAGACATATGCTTGTCTATTGTTTTTGTTCATCATAAAGAATTCTCTTAAAACTGTAGTATTATGTTTTAAGTCAAAGGTACATCAGATTAATATTAACAGCAATATAAATTCAGACATATGCTTGTCTATTTTTTAAATCATCATAAGTAATCTTAATCGATAAAGGTTTATTTCGATGTTCAAACTTAAAGGGATTAATATCAGATTATAATTAACAGCAAAATATATTCAGACATATGCTTGTCTATTTTTTAAATCATCATTAGTAATCTTAATCGATAAAGGTTTATTTCGATGTTCAAACTTAAAGGGATTAATATCAGATTATAATTAACAGCAAAATATATTCAGACATATGCTTGTCTATTTTTTAAATCATCATTAGTATTCTTAATACTAGTGAATGTCTTGGTCGATAAAGGTTTATTTCGATGTTTAAACTAAAAGGCACATATCAGATTGTTATTAACAGCAATATATATAAAATATATTCAGACATATGCTTGTCTATTTTTTGAAATCATCATTTTGAAAATAAAAACTAAGCTCAGGTTTGTAATTCATTAATTTTCAGTTACAATAAAACAATATCTTACTTTAGCACTTGTAATGGTTCCGAAAACGCTGAATTCTTTACGTAGCCGCTCATCATCAATGGTATCGTCCAGGTTTTTCACATACAAGTTAACGCCTTGGTATCTATTCATACGTTCTATCTTGTACTGTTCAAACTTGCGTTTCAGCTCTGTCTGACGTTCCGCTTTCTTTTGAGCTCGGCCTACGTAGTAAGTCTAACAACAAATAATTTCCAATTAAGAATTTATTATATCTCGATTTATTGTTAATTTTTTTTTCTTTTTACCTTTCCTTCTGGACTTTCTTTGCCGTGATATTCGATAACAGCTTTTTCGGCTTCCTCTGGATCTTCAAAGGCCACAAATCCAAAACCTCTGGACGAGCCGTCTTCTCTAAACATGACTTTGTAGCTAGTGATGGTACCAAAGGCTTTGAACATATCGAATAATTTCTCATCGTTGACGTTTTCATCCAAGTTCTTGATGTAAACATTGGTGTACAATTTAGCTTTTTGGCCCAATTCCTTTTCGCGGTCTTTTCTGCCGACAAAACGACCCACAAACACTTTCTTTCCGTTGAGCAACATGCCGTTAACTTTTTCAATTGATTGAGTTGCCGATTGTTCCATTTCAAAATGGACAAATCCATAGCCTTTCGATTGGCCAGTCTCGTCTTGAGCGACCTAGAATAAAAACAAAAGAGTACCATTAACTGACCAGTTTTAATACAAGTGTACGTGTTGTTGTTACTCACTTTACAGCTCAATATATTGCCAAAAGCAGAGAACGTGTCGTACATGGCTTTGTTGTCGATACTTCTATCCAAGTTCTTGATGAACACGTTGCCGACACCAGATTTTCTCAATGAAGGATCTCTCTGTGACCACATGATTCTCATTGGGCGCCCTTTAAGTATGTCAAAGTTCATGGTATCCAATGCACGCTCAGCTGTAGGAATTAAAAAAATAAATAAATAAATAAACAAAAAATCTGGCACAGTAGGCAAGGGTTAGGGAAGTCATGGGTTTTACGGGCATCCAGTATCACCGGATTGTATACAGTTATGACTTTGAAGCCAATCTCACTTATTCATTTAAGCAAAAATCTACTTCGATCTACTCAACTTCTATTAATTTATCACCTATTCCAGTAGGTACCGTATTTTCGATTTATTGAGTTAGATTAGGTCAAGAACCCAGGGGTCGTCGATATAGGATATTATAACCAACAATGATCTTATTCTTACTGTGACAGTGTTTACTTGACAATGAAATAAACAGTGTCGTTATCATAACATTGTCAAACTAGTATAAACAAGGACAAAAAATATTATTCTTAAATATCTTAAGACAACGATAAACAAATGTTCGGCGCCGTTAAAAAAGTCAAAAACATTGTGTTACTTGTGCAACGGTAGAATAGTTCTTATCAGATTATTGGTAGACATCAAAATGTTTCAGACATATGCTTGTCTTTTGTTTTTAATCATCATTAAGAATTCAATTATGTTTTATAGCTATCTCTTGAATACTTTTTACCATTGATAGAATTAGTTATTTCAAGTAGATAAAATTGCATCCATACTATTATTTATTTAACATGTTTACTACGGATGACAAAACCTTAATATATTTCCTATTTCTAGGAATTTTTATTTTATGTATTTAATCTAATCTTATGCAGGAAGTTGAATATTGTTTTTTTATTGATATTTTTTGTTAACATATAATAATATATTTGTGACGCCGTTTGATGTCAACCAGCATCTGATAGTAAACTTTGATGTTGCGTGGATGACGCAAATTGACATCAATAAAAAAAAAACCTTATTTCTTATACACATGTGAGCATATTGACTTATATAATCCGCAATGAATGTTTTAAAACCAAAAAAATATATAATTTTGAGATTATTTTACATGTAAAACACAAGACATATTAACTTGACAATATCTTCATATAGATTGTGATTTTTTTGTTGGTGTCGGGGAATAATGTTCTTGCCGATGTCTTGAACACTCTACTTTCTACGACCTCAGTGGAGGTTCAAGATTCAAGGTATATTTTATTGCACTCTGGGAGACAAGTGTGTTAAGTACATCAAGTAGTTGGAGTTTAGTATCGGACAAGAAAAAATTGTTATCTGATAATGCATTTAAAGTTCTCCTGTAGTACACCTCGACTCAACACTCGGACAGACGGTTCTGTTTGTCGGCCGGGAAAGCGTCTAGTGATAAGGAGCCACCCTCTCTACGGCAATGGACTGATAAGCTAGATGATGATGAAACTGATTTAAGTATGTGTAAAACGCTAGTCAAGTAAAAAAAAATTTTTTTTTACAATTCGTTTCACCTTTTCAAAATGAAAAGTTTGTTATTTGAAGAAAAAGATGCGGGGGTATAGTACTGGCCAGCAGTAGATAACTTCCAAATACAGAGTTTATATTAATTGAAACATAATGTCAACATTTACAATTATTATAATTAAATAATTATAACCTGTAATATCCAATGATAGAGTAGTCGACCTACGCTCGGTAATATTAGTCATAGGTCGTTTATGCATACATAATGACCACGTGGCTGGAGATAAAATATTTGTAAAAAAATTCCAAATAAACCCCTAACTAAATCGCCACTACGGTTAGTACCTACAATATAGAAAAATAATAATAATTGTATTATGCGAGGCGAGCGAGCCTAAACGGCTTTCCGTACACGTGGCATTGACAAGAGAAGGCGGCGGTGGTGGTGGCGGCGGCGGCGGCAAGAGGAGGGCTAAGAGAAACGGTGGTTTTTTTTTATAGTTCCATCAAAATATTCAATTTCATTCAACGGACAGGTACAACCGTACGGTAGGTTAGGCCAATACATCGAGAAAACAATAATTATTATTGCCGTTACTCGACGAATACTGTACACAAGTATACACACACGAGTCGCTTACCGTCCGCCATGTTTTGGAAGTTGACATAGGCGTAACCCAACGATCTGCGGGTGATCATGTCGCGGCACACGCGGATGGACAAGACCGCGCCGACCGTGCTGAACTTCTCGAACAGCATTGCTTCGGTGACGTCGTTGTGAAGGTCTCCGACGTATAAAGAAGCCATTTTTTTTGTAAACTGAGTTTTTTCTCTCTTCGAATTACCGACTTCACTGGGCGACGGCGACGACGACGATTGTTGTTGTTGTAATACGGATTTGCGTGTAGATATTTAATTGTAATATTTTTTTTTTTTTCAAGTTTTATCAATTTTTCCTTTTTTTTTTTTTATTATTTAATTTAAATTTTATACTTTTTTTTGGTTTTTTAATAATTAAAAAACTACACTATATTTCTCATGGGTTGTGTTTCGTAAATGTACGACACAACCGCACGTGAGCAAAACAAAATTTCGAGAAAAAAAGAAACGCACTGAACGCACCAAGATGGTGACGGACGCGTCGTCGGCCTCGGTTTTGTCCTTGTGTATCCCCTCTCTTCCGGCCCCGATTTCGTTTGTGCGCATGCGCGGTCCGCCAACGGTTGCTAACCGTTGCGCCGATGGTGGACGCGGGACATGGTGACGGGGTGGTGACTGTCGACTATACCGCATACCGCGGCATACGTTCAAAAGGTTACCGCGTAGCAAACGGTTACCACGATCAATATTCGTGGTACCGCCTTTACACGACAAGCGATATTGTTGTCTTGTAAACAAAACGAACACCGCCTTTAAAAGTTCCTAAAGATCAGAAAGTGTCAAAATGATCTAATTCCAGTAATACGGTGCGAGTTTTACAACGCTTTTTCGTTTCTTCAATTAACCACAACGATGATCGCTATTTATTACGTTCTAGTCGCGTTTCGAATACTGTCTTCCGTATTTTATCAGAATGGATACATACATCCCGACGAGTTCTTTCAGTCTATCGAAATTATCACCGGTAAGAATATTATTGAGAATGTTTAGTTTCTCTGAAAATTCGCGCAACAATTTTTTGTTATGATTTATTTACTCGAAATAAGTTTTTACACGAGAGTTTATACATGTTTAGTAGTTAGCAGTCGGTAAAACGTCCATAGAAAAAAAAGGCGGAACAAATCTACTTTACCGGACACCTTTTTTTTTTATTAAAAGGTTGGATTTTGCATTCTGATTACGAATCTGCAAAAGTTTTGGGCCGCTCGCACTTACTTTGGAAGTTACAGACGTTTGAAGTTCGAAGGTTTTGACTTACGGGCGCGCCCGGCAGGCCCCGTCTCCCGGCAGCCCCCGGGTACTTCGTTAGTTGGTCGCCGCTCTCGACATACCGGCCGTCTATCGACGTTGCGGTCGTACTTTAGCGAACACCTTTTTTTTCGGTTTTTTTATTGCCATATTATAGTGTTTTTTACGCTGATTACGAACCTAAATTTAAAATCCGGCAAACTTCTTTTTTCAGTTAAGTTTTAATTAAATAAACTACTAACGTCTAACTATGCAAAACAACTCCCTACGCCTGCCGGCTCCGGGAGCCGTCTCGAGCCCCTTCGGGGCTCTTCGTTGGAGGGGGGCTGACGCCCCCAAACTCCCAGAGGCAAAAACAGCTCAATTAAAGGGAATAAAAAAACTAACCTGATACTGCTCTGAAAGCGGTTAGTGACCTAACGAGTCCAAACTTAGCCTGCTTAATGTTAGTCATTAGTGGTGGGCACGATGGGTGGGAGACAAGTAGACGAAGGGAACGCGTGACCGACGAACAATGTGTCCAGCGTTCGCGGGTAGACGGGGCCTGCCGGGCGCGCGCGTAAGTCAAAATCTGCAAACTTCAAACGTCTGTAACTTCCAAAGTAAGTGCGAGCGGCCCAAAACTTTTGCAGATTCGTAATAAGCATGCAAAATATTATCGATTTAAAAAAAAAAAAGGTGTCCGGTAAAGTAGATTTATACCAAAAAGGCTACTCAGAAAAAATTGTTTTTCAAGATTCTTTTTCCCTATATTTGTTTATTTGTCCTATAAAGTAATAGAAACAAATACATTTTGTTGTTATTTTTAAGAATGATGTTGTTTTTCAGTCGGCAAAAAGACCTTAAGGTTTTTCATTGTTTTGAGTCGAGAAAATGTTCGTTATATCCCCAAAAGTATTAGTTTTAAGAGATTTATGTAAATCGAATAAAACTTTGGTTGAAACAGACTTAGTGACAAAAAACCCTGTTATTTACCAACAATGTTGTTTTTGTATTTATCAAATGTTTGATGATCTATTGTTCTTAGGTGATTTTTTTGGAGTCGTACACAAACGTCCATGGGAATACCGCGAAGAAAACCCAGTCAGAAGTATAAGTCTATTATATGCAGTATTTGGAGCACCATTGTTTATTTTGAAAATAGTATTTGGAATTTACGAGATTCCATGGACACCTATGACGCTGTTGGGTGTTTTTCGGCTAATCACTTGCTTGTTATCCTTTCTAAGCGATTATGCTCTATACAAGTAAGTATAACACGATGACTTTAATGAATAGAAAAAGCTAAGTGACGTAACTGCATGTACGATAAAAATAGGGTTACAACGAAGTATAAAATTATATGGGTTTTTTTTGTTCGTTGTAAGCCAAACATTTTCATTTGGATATTGTGTAAACTTGTTAACATTAATGATAAGTTTTATTGTCCCCCTAATTTTTTTTTTTTTTTTTACAGAATATGCAAGTTGTGTGGAGTTAAGCCCGACAGATATCTCGTACTACTTTCGAGTTCTTATGTAATCATTGTTTACGGCACGAGGGCTTTTACGAATTCCATAGAATTAGTTTTGCTATCTCTTCTCCTGTGGTTGGTCATTGACAGTATGAAGACTTCAGAAAAGGTATATTGGCATTTGATTTAGATTGGCCGTCACTAAAATGCCTTTTAATTTTTTTTTTATTTCAGTTCTTAGCCGCACAAAACGAAATATTCAAGATGTACGCCGACAAGACGTCGATTCAAGACCAAGTTGAAATGAGCAAAAAATTACGAAAACTACCCTACCATTTGTTTAATCATTGTTTCGAAATTGCCGCTATTCTATCTGTTGGCACGTTCAATCGTCCAACGTTTTTGATATTCGCCATTGCTCCGATTTTCTTTTGGATATCTCGAGGATTCTCTAAGGATATAAAGTATTGCATCACGACGTTCAATCTACGTTTTTTCGTATTGGTACTTTGCGTCGCTCCGATAATGTTGGTGCTGGTGTTGATCGATTCTTACTACTTTGGGCACGTAACACACGACGCTGTGGATTTCGTTTATACGCCTTTGAATTTTATCAAGTACAACTTAGATTCTACCAATTTGGCCGAACACGGTATACATTTTCGATTGACTCACGCCTTTGTCAACATGCCATTACTGTTCAGCGTGTTGGTTCCGCTGTTTGTGCACAATTTAAATTTGAACAAATTCCTCGAAATGTAAGTGTTTTGGTATTTGTTTGTATTACATTGTTTAATTTTATTTATCGCTCAATCTGTTTTTTTTTTCAGCTTCAGGAACGGTCAGTATAATTTGCTACCGAATATTCATCGAGTCGACACTTTGATGGTGGCCAACGTAATCATTCCATTGGCTTTGTTGTCCCTCTTCCCACATCAAGAACCAAGATTTCTTTTACCTCTATTGTTACCAATCGTTTTCACTACTGCGAATTATTTTTCCATCAACAGTATTAAAAACTTGAAACCATTGTTCTTTACTTGGTGTTTGGCAAACGTGTTTGGATTTTTATTTTACGGTCACCTCCACCAAGCCGGCGTTACACCTATGATCTCACAATTGGCCACAGACATTAAACACTCGTCAAATACACTCTTAATCCACAGTCATGTGTACACCGTTCCCGTTGGCTTATTATTAGTTCCTGAACCGGCCAAAAAATTTAGTCGCATTAGGTAAGTAGTTTACAATTAAAAAAACTCATAATAATCTTCGTACATATTTTTTTGGTGTAATGAAAAAAATAAAACAATCGATTCAAATAAAACTGTGTGTTATATAAATTACTAAGGTATTGGTTTTTTTACTAAATAACATTTTATACTGTACTATTGTCTGATATAATCTAATATTAGTCCGAATTCATTGATAAAAAAATATTTGAATAAATTTATCAACTATAATAATAACAAATTGGAAAAAAAATATGCCAGATAATAGTCGACTAAAAAGAAAAAGTCTTAAATTGTGCAAGGTGTTAATTAATGTTTAATTTGTTTAATTTTCAGAGGAGAGCGCCGGGTGTCTGTTCATGATCTTGGTTCTTCGTTAGACGTGCACACAATCGTCCATACAGTAATGAATACTACCGAGCATCTAACCATAATGGGAAATCCCAAACTGAAAATTTACTTGGCGTTAACAGGTGCTCTACATAAAAGTTTTGAAGACTTGTGCGATCGTTCCGATATAAAATTTACAAAGAAGCTGTTTTTTCCTCACGTGTCGGTCGAATCACTTAATTACTACAAGACTTACATCGTCGACTTAATTTTACATGACAACAGGACATATGTCGCTCGCCTTAAATGTCTTTACGAATTGTTTTCTCTTGTGCTTTACGAGATTACACTGCATCGCACAGCCGTAGTGTAAAATTTATTGCAATATTGCGTTTCCTTATTATTTTTTAAGTCAATACTATTAATGTAAGATTACCTAATTTTAAACACAGTCTAGTCATCAAACTCGCTTTATAAGTAACTATATAACTCGCTTAAGTACATGTTTTGTGAAAAATATTCAATTGTATTGTCTTTTTTTTTTTTTAATATACTTAAAAACATTTTATTAAGCTTTACATTTTGATTTTGTTAATTGTGCATAATACATTTCCAGTTTTCTTTACCATTGTTTAATAGAAACTTGATAATTTCTACGGCTTTCCGACCGAGAGGTCTGTCGGTACACAATTTGTCTAGTGGTTTACCGTCCAAGGCTTTGGCGCATTTCATCAAGCATTCCATTCTTGAATTTGAATTCAATTGTCCGCCAACGTATTCCAACAGGACGAGTCGCCCGTCGGCTAACACGCTGAACCAGTTGACTAGATGACTGTACATGACCGGAGTGATATTTATATCTAGAAATTAAATACTATTAACGTTGTTTAAGATAATACAAATGTTGTGTAATTGTTGCAAAACATGATATCATTATTCAACTCGCCTGATTCGTTTGAACCGAAATTCACTGCCATTATGACTAGTTCAGGATTGTATTCGTACGCAATCGGTAATATTACGTAGTGCACTAAAGCGGTCAGTTCCGTTTCGTTGATTATTTCCTACAGACAATAATAATCGCAAGTGAATATAAAAATGTACAATTGTTTATTTGTTTTTACCGAAAATTACATACTTTCGGCCATCCGATTTTCACATCGTGTTTGCTTATGGAAATAGAGTTTGCACTCGACGACTTGTGCACGGTAACGTGTAACGGTGCGTTCGAATCGTTACGAGTCCTCCGAAATTGGTTATCGTTCCATTCGACAATCATAATTCTAAAGTATGGCCAACGTAAACTGGTGAAATATTTAATTAATCCACATTAATTATACATTACCTTTTTGTATTGTATTTTTTACCGACCCATTTGGCACCGATGGCCGATATACTTATCGGTAAACTTGTGTCCGTATGTATTGGAACGAATATCGCCGACCTCACATCGCACTGGTACATTGTGTCTAAAGTCTAAACAAAATAACAATGTTTTTTTTTCTAATTAAACGACCTCATTATTGTTTGATGGGAAAGGAAAGCGCCAAATTGTATGCCAATAAAAAATATGAGAAGAGAAGTGTCTACACCGAACCGATTTGAAAAACAATTTGTTTTCGTTGTAAAGTTTAAGATCTTCTGTATGAGGGCTAAAAGGCGGATTTTGTATTTTTGTGTTTAAAACTATAAAAGTCTTATGACTATAGACAATCTTAATATTTTTTCTCCTTAAAATGGGCACATGTAAACTTGACTGTAGCACATAAATCATTTTTTTTTCTAAGTTTTATAAAAATGAGATAATTTTTAGAACAGGAACGCACTTCAGATTAATTTTGCAAAATGCGTTTTTCTTATTTTAATTTTTTTTTTTTTGTTGATATTGTGGTAGAATATTGGCCTAGTATGCATACCGAAACATACTGTAATAAGAAAACATAATTTTATTTTACTAGAAAAAGGGCCTAATAAGTGCTATTTTATAAAGCAAAGTACAACCAAGATTAAACAATTTTTACAAAGTAAAATGTTGTACGGTTCTCAAAGTTAATATTGGTTTCTATATGACACTTTTAGTTTTGTTTTTTTAAGCATTTTAGTATAATATTGTGCTTGGTATTGAATACAAATGTTACATTTCATACACAGAACAAGTGTTTTTTTTTTTTATTAAATAAATATAAGCTTCCAATTTTAAAAGTTTTGATTAGAACAGAGGCCCAATTTTACAAATTTTAAAAAATTCCCTAGGCTAATTAAAATAAAAAATTAATATTTTATAAATTTAATCAACCCATTAAATGGTAATAGATTAGGCAAAATTATATAGTTTTCGTTATAAAAATAAAAAAAATACCTAGACAAATAGTTTTTTGTGTTAAACTTATATTTAAAAGGACACCATTTTTTTTTTATTGGCTGATATTTCCTAAAAAAAACTATTTTTATAATAGAACAATTTTTTTTTTTTGTAAAAGGCATTAAAGGAGTTGAAGGGAGGATTTTACAAATTCTCAAATCAGCATCAGATTAAGACTTCTAATATGTGTAGTTCAAGATCTATAAAATGTGGTGTATTTATCTAATTTATGTCTAAATAAATGGAACTATGACGGTCGTTCATTTTGAGCGAGTTGAACTTCATATACAATTATTAGAATAAAAAGAATCACAAATTCTATTTCATCAAATTTAAATGGGCACAACTTAATTTGTGTTTTATTAAAACAAAATATATTACAAAATCTAGATCTTGTTTGGTTTTGTACAGTCAATTTTAAAATGTATTATTTTATTAATGAGTTTGCTACATGAGATATATCTATTAGTTGATTTTCTGCCGGATTTTTAAAAATGTATTTGAGCATATCATTACATATTATTATTATGGTATAAGTAATATGCATTGGTGTGGTCTATGGCATTTTTGAGTTTGACATCATGGGATTAGAAGACATTTTATAAGTGGCCTTGGTAAAAGTGTGTTTAATAATTATACAAATCAAATTTTGATATAGTTCAGTATAGAAAGTATTGCAAGTTAGTAGTTTTGGTTAGGTTAATATATTATTAGTTTATATAGAATTAAATGCACAAGTCTCAATACAAACATATTGTTAAGCATTTGGCGTTATTATTTTTCCAAAATAAATACATTGTGTTTGTGTTGTTAATTATTGTAAATTATCACTTGTTGTCGACCATTAAAAGTGGGTACCTGTGTAATATTTTAAGTAGCTCGTTTTTAAGTCCTTGAACTTTGAATGGAAAATGTGGCGCCACTTGATCGGGTGATGGTAAAGAAACCACGCCATATAGATTGCTTTATCTGGCAATTCGAATACTACAATTTTTGTAGGTATAAATAGGCGTGCAGCATTTCAGTGCAAGTATAACAAGTTATTTTGTGCAAATCTGTACTTTGGTAAGTGCCAACAGCGTTATTTACTTTGCTATACGTTTGATACTTAATCGTTTCAATAGTATTGGGTACCTAATAGTAAAACTGATTTCGTTGTTTCAGTATATTTTCCTTCTACAAGTTCTCCAAGAACCAACTCAGAAACCAAAAATGGGCGCAGAAAAAGTATCAATGAACATCGTTGTCGTCGGACAAGTGCAATCCGCCAAAGCCATCAAGACTGTCGCCAAGACCAGCCCAGCTGTCAACCAGGCCATGGTAAGTTGTTTTGGTTAAGTGAAATTTGCAAAATTTCAAATATAATATTATGTAAATCTCATATTCTTATAGTTGTTGTATAAATAGCGGTATAATATGTAATCAAAATAATAATATGTTCTTATTTGAGACTCGAGCATTCTATATAAACTAATAATATATTACACTAACCAAAACTACTAACTTGCAATACTTTCTATACTAATTCAAATGTCTTTTGTTGCACAACACAGAAAAAATACTTAGTTGGACCAACTAAAATAATTATGGTTAATACATTTCTAGCTGATATAACTGTATACATTCTTCGGTCAGCTAAATGTTTAATTAAAGAAACTATTAATTTAGTTATAGTCGTAGCACTTACAGTTTATTAGTTTTTTTTTTCATAAACAAAATTTGATTTGTATAATTATTATTAAGCACACTTTTACCAAGACTACTTGTAAAATATCTTTACATTTTCAAAGAGTTTTTATTGATTTCTAAATAACTACTTTTTTTTTACAATATAATATCGTCTTTGTCTCTAATTAATATGAAAAATAGTTCTGCACAACTATTAATTAAATATAAATAGGTATGTTTACAATGATTTTTTTAAAACTTTATTTAAGTACTGAAAAATAAAATGTAAATTTATAATATATGACAACAGTGCCTATACCTAAAATAGCATTGCCAATATTTGGAAATTCGAAAATTTAGTTTTATACTAGAAATATATTAAAAAAAAAAAAAACAAATATTTATTTTAGTGTTAAACTAATAATTGTTTTATTTTTCAGAATTGTTAATGAAACAATTCCATGATGCCAAACTCAAAAATGCCATAGACCACACAATGCATATTACTTATACCATAATAATAATAATATGTATTGATATGCTCAAATAAATTTTCAAAAATCCGCCGTTAAAATGTGTTTATTTTTTTTTATAAATTTAATTCATTTTTTTTTAGTACCTTTCAAGAATTATAAATGTTGTTTAATATTAAACATCATTATTCATTATTGCACAAACCAAGTTTTTCTAGAAAACTGTTGTCCATTTACAATTATTGCAACAAATAAATATCAATGTTTGCATGTTTTAAATCTATCAAATAGGTATTCAAAAAAAAAAAAAAATTATGATGAACGCAATTTGTGTGATTTTCCCATTTATTATTGTTGTCTCATAAAATATATTATTGCATTCAAAAAGAATATGCGCTTAAGAAAAGGTATAATATTGGTGACTTTTATGTTATTTTTATTTTTATTATCATTTTATTTTAATGAATAATATAATGAATTTACTAACTTGTTACAAAAGTAGGTGCATAATAGTGTTCAAGCCAACAACAAAAAAATAGATAGCTTATGCATTTGTTTCAGTGGACTACAGCGACAAGCACCGTATTCCTTTGTAGGTATAATTAGTACTTAATTAATAGGTAATAAGTTTTAGCAGTTTTTTTTTTTTTAATATACTCAGAATAACTCTAATAATTTTGTAAAGTCAGAGCTAAATTCACTTGGCCTTTAAGCCCTTCCGGTGGCCCTTAAGGGTGAATCTGATTTACAAAAAGTGGTTAAATTTTCGAGTTATATTATCGTGTTGCATACTTTAAACAGACCACCGATAACGCCTCGGTAATTTTCCAATGTTTCTAGTCGGTCGTCGGTTTCTTTGATCGCATCGAGCTCTTCGTTCGAAGCCAAATTCGCCTGTACCAATAATTGTATTCGTATAGGATTAAAAACAATTAGAAGCTAGGTGTAGTGCTCGAACGATTACTGTTGATTATTCAGGCGGACTAACATTTTCTATAACGTAGCAGTCGGCCACCTGCTTTGTCAGACAACTGTAAGTACGGTTTGCGCTTGTCCGATTTTGATTTTCCACCGAAACACACACGGCCAACCGCGTTGACGGTGCACAAAGTCTGGTTTCTGAAAAATAATGCTGGGGTTTCAGACGGCTGTAGGTCGTGAAGTATTGGACCTACAGCGCTCTGGTTGCAGTCGTTCAAAACTCGACAGCCCGCCCCCTTTTATTCAAGCCCTACCAGAGCGCTGTAGGTCCGATACTTTACCACCCCAGCATTCTTTTTGGGACACTCACCCTCGATCAAATTCGTTAGGACTCTATCGAAAAGCGCGGTGTCGATTGGCGGGTACATATTTCTGGTGGCAAACAAGTCGGGTTTGACTTCTTTGTAAGTATAACGTAAGTCGACCGAACTTCTGCCACGATCCGTGAAAGGGCTTTGGTCGAAACACTTCCAATGGGCTCGATGAGCGTACACCGCGTCGCCTATAGTCTCCATGACGCTAAAAAAGTGTACTAAAATGATGATTTTTCTCACATAGACATTATTGTACGACCTTCCCCCCCCCCACCCCATATACCTTTTACACGGACTCCGTGTCAACTTCAAAACGGGACAAGCATCTCCCAACAGAGCTCTTAACGTCAAAGCTGCGCTTTCTGCCAGACTTTTGTAATAATATCCTCCCTGTAGGGACAGTAAAAAAAAACCATTTATACTGTACACTGTTTTGGTTTTTCTTTGATAAAAAAAAAAAAATGTTTGACTACAGATTTTTGAGGAAATCGTATAATATGTTATAGCCCCATTCTAGATCTACTTTTGGTCTAATGGAAGTCAATGACATTTTAGTCAAATAAAGTATACCTTCCGGGTACGATTCAGCATCTTGACAGCTGCTACACGAAGAAATCGGTTCGGTGGGCTTAAAATATACAGACACGAAAATATATAAAAATAAAAACACATCGTTATGTAAATACAATACCTTGTCAGCTATCGCATAAAAGCTAAAAAAAATATTATAAAATGTGTTGTTAGAAAAAAAAACAGTTTTCAATAAAAAGTGCCAATCAGTTACTGTTGAAATGTAATGAAATTATACTAATTATTATGTTTTTTAGTTTCGATGCGGACTGAGGTGTTGTTTTTATTATATTTTTTTTTTTTGTATCTGGACCAACCACTCGCTATAGATCGGATAGGTTTACCTGAAATTGGACTGAAGGTAGTAGACCTAGAACGGGGCAAGACATATTTAAACCCTTTAAGCGATTTAAATCAAGACCGGTCGGTATTTTTCACTAGGAGATTTATCGGTTGTCGCCAATATTCAGAGTTTTGAGTACATACCCCAGACAGTACCCATTGCCCTCTCCACATCATAATATATTACCTCTAGTATAGCGACGACTTTTCCACCAGCAAGTGCCTTCAGGTTTTCCATCATGTGAGCGTAACACACGGGCGTTACCGACATTTGTCCCTGTGTGCGAACAACGTCTTGTGTTATACTTATGTCTCACCAGAGAACGGCACTGCGCAGTACCGTTCTCCGGTGGGACAGAGAGAATAGACCGGCTCACTTTGGGATCTCCGATGGCCGAATCGTAACCGCTGGAAACTATTACCAATTCGGGAGCAAACTGAAAAAAATAAATTTAAAAAAAAACAACAGAACTTGACGAGTACCTCTAAGCACTACTATACGGATTAAAACAATTATTCCTCAAGCACCTCGTAGGCTACGGGCATGAGCAGGTAGTGTACGACGGCCATGTAATCTTCGTTTGCCATTCCTATTCGGTTCAGAGGCACGTTGATGTTATATCCTCTGCCGTTTCCGGCACCCGTGTGATCGCTATCGCTCTCTCTTAGGTTGGGCCAGAATTGTCCGCGTTCGTATCGGTGAATGGAAAAGTACATCACTCTAAACACAACGGTTAATATTATACAGGGTGTGCCAGAGACATCTAGCGGCGGTCATTCGAAACTTGACAGCCCCCCTCTTTTATTCGAGCCCTACCAGAGCGCTGTAGGTCCTATATACTTCACAGCCTACAGCCGTTTGAAACCCCACCATTCTTTTTGAGACACCCTGTATATTATAGTTGTTATGTTTTTTATATTATAAAATTTCAAATGTTTATAAAGTCAAACACGTAGGAAACTTATTAATAAAGTTTTGTATTTATAATTTTAATATTATACTTGATATTTTTACCTTTTTAAAACGAATTTAAATATATTTTATACTTTTCAATAATTCTACATTGGAATATTACTGTTATTTTCAATGTATTAAGTTTCAAAGTGTTTATTATTTTGATTCGATTACATCAAACTAGTAGGTACATTAAAAACAAACAAGTCAATTATAAACAGTGTCATGATTGGTAGAAAAGGTATAAATTATAAGGTGTATAAGATTTGTTGTCTATTTTTATACGGTTTTTGTTTTTAAATAAAAATAATACCTACTACATTATTTCTCTTACAAAACTTGTTTCGGCAAAACGTTCAATGTTATTTCACAAGTCTAACATCTATTCTAAGATTTTGATTGGGACTAAACCGCGTACCTACCTGTGATCGTTGTAGAACTTCTGTTGTGTACCTTGGCCGTGGTGAACATCCCAGTCGACTATGAGGATTTTCTGGATAGGCGTTTTGTCCAGCACATACTGGGCGGCCACCGCCACGTTGTTGAAAAAACAATAGCCGCAATATTCGGATTGCATGGCGTGGTGACCGGGAGGTCTAGATTTTAGAAATATATTTTTTAACAAAAAATCAAAAAATTCGACAAACATCAATTATCATTGGCAGGGTGTCTCGTAAAGCATGCTGGGGTTTCAAACGGCTGTAGGTTGTGAAGTATTGGACCTACAGCGCTCTCTAGTGGCAGTCATTCGAAACTCGACAACTCTCTCTTTCGTTCAAGCCAACCCCAGCATTCTTTTTGAGACACCCTGTAGTTATTTTTTATTTTTACCGCACTATGGCCATCCCGTTCTGCACTTTTCCTTCCACCACCGATTTGACCAATTCGATTGAACTGCCTGCCGCCATAAGCGATTGTCTGTAGGTCGACTTGAGGCAAAATTAAAACACTTAAATATAATATCTTATTATATTTGTGACACGTTAATTCACTTTCGAGTTGTATCTGCCTAATTTTAATGAAATAATACACAAACACAGACCGTCTTGAATAATGCTTGTGGTTGCTAATAGATTGCGCTCATGTTATCATTGGCCTTGTATTCAATATTAAACATTTACAAGATACGTTCTTACCTGATAGCGAAAGAGGCAAAAGACAAATATCGTATTGGTATTAACCACTTTTACTGAGTTATATTTTTTTCTGTGTTCTGGTGAAAGTTTGACAAACATTTTTGACTATTGCTAGAAATCCTACTCTAGTGTATTTTCTCAAAAAAAAAAAAATTTCATACCTGGTGTAGATAAATTGAATCGTACTCGGACGAGAGTTGTTCTAAATCTTGTTCGCTGTAGTTTTCGGTTTCTTTAAGTCGGTCTATGTGTTTGGCCGTGTGTACGCACAGCAATTCTTCCCTTGTCGCCGGACGCGTTTCTATCCTCACACATCTCTCTATCAGTCCCAGCGAATTGCATCTGAAAAGAAAATAACACTCAATACATATCTAATAGGTGCAACGGACAATCCATAGGAGATGTGCTAACAAAATTAGTATAACACTAATCCGGCGTACCCAAAAATGGGGGGGGGAGGGAGAATTCGGGTCCGAACCCCTCACACACAATTGGCAAAAATCAAACTAATTGTTATAGAACAAAAGTAGATCAAAAATCTAAAAAAAATACCATTCAATTTTATAAACAATACCTACTAGTTTCCAAAAATTATGTGTACTTGGATCATTAAAAATTGTATGTATGTTAGTTTTGGCCGTTTATTGGATAATTTCTTATATATTTCTATACTTGTATTCTATTTTGTATGTACTCCATTATTATGCCTTTACTGTATTGTGTTCTGTATTAATTCCTATTTATTATGTTTTTTTTTCACACTTAAGTTCTGTATACATATTTTTATTAGTACGCCATTGTATTTGAATACATATATATGTTTTGTATTCATATAGGTAAACCGTGTCCTATAAAGGCAACTCAAAACGTGAGCAGTTTGATGTGTTTAAAAAAAAAAAAAAGTTGTTTGTACATAAAAAAAAAAATGCATGCAATATGTTTAAGCTACTAATTTCTGTATATAATATAGTCTAGTTTGTTATCTGTACACGGTGACTGATTGTGACTATAACCCAGTCAATATTCTAGTAGAAGACAGTGGATTTTTTAAAATAATTTTTTTTATACTTTTATATAGTCAATATGGTTTTTACTCGATTTTAGTATATTTTTTTTCAAAAACATAACCCCATCCTTACATGTTATTATTATTTTTTTAAATTAAGAATGTTTTGCCGAATATTTCCTACCGGTCTACGATTGATGTGTACCGAAGTGGGTTCTCCGAATAGTTTTCGTCCCAAAGACATTTGTGGCCGATGAAGGCACCGTGGTCGTACACAATTCCGGTCATGTTGCCAATAGCGTTGCCTTACAAAACAGCTATGATATTCCAAGTTAGCTATTTGTACTGTATTTGTTGTGTTATAGACACCGACTGAAGACGGCCTACACTACACACGGAAGTAAGTAAGTGTTTGTGCGGCGTTCGATAACGTTTCTCTGATAAAGTTTATCTTAAAATTATTGGCCCAATTATTGCACGAACCGAATAAACTGTATTATTATAACCCAACGGTTCACTTAATATATCAGCTGTATTGCACATGTTTGCCTACCTATATTATAAAATATAGGTACTTTATACTGTACAATGATGAACGGAAAGCGCTATTTATTATTAAGAGGTAATATCTGACAGAAATTATTGATCCGGTGAAAAAATATTATACGGTTTTCTAGTAATAAAATAAGCCTACTAAACGGTAGTTTGATCCAAAAACTACATCAGATCTTTATGAGAGTTGTAATTAAATGTGTACTAATTTTTAGTATACTACAAGCAACTATGATCGACTGATTTTACCTATATGGCCATTTAGTTGAGTTCTCGAATGGGATTAATTGATCAATTTGCAAAGAAAACATATTAAAAGGGAAAACTGCATGTTTCTGTTCTAGCTCGGTGCACATAGAAAAACAAAAGTGTTTAGTTACATTTCAGTTTTCAAGATTATGTATATTAATACCGTTCCACGTGTGTTCTAGAAATTAAATTACAAACCAATTAGTAATTACACGCTCGTTGAATAGTCAAAATTAAAACTATTAAAACGTTAATTTGCACTATAAAACGCACTTAAAAAGAAAATTAGGTAATACTCGAAGATCCGAATCGACTTTTACTTTTTCATTTTTAAAATATTTTTCTATTTTTTCGGTTTTCAACGTGTAGTTATTAGATTAGCAATAAGAATTCTTTTTAGGCGGTTAGTTTATTTATCTCTCACAGCATCTTTGTCAGCGATTTCAGGTATTTTTTTTTCCATTTAAACATAGTTTTCTAATTCCAAAATCACGGCTTACTGGGTGGTTTTAGAGGTGAAAACCCTATTATAATAGTTGTAGTTGAGAACTTTATCTATATTTAATTGGAAACCAATTTTTCATAGTTGGTTTGGGCATGGAACAATATGGAAATTAAAATGTAAGTTTTAAAATCTTATTCCAACAACACATAATTGAAATTCTCATCTTTCAAACAGTTTATAATTTATATCTATGCGTGCATTGTAGACTTCAAACCATTAGAAATACAAAAGTGCTAATTTGAACCCCAATCTGGCTTTTGTGTAGCAAGTCTAGACCTTTTTGGTAGGTAAATCACTTTTTAAGTTGTATAGTATGTAAATATGCTGATTTCAACTATACGGTACGTTTGTTATAGTCTCAATCTTAAAATTGAACAAACAATACACACTATGGCTACTTAGGTATTCTGAAATTTAGATAATCTGTATATTTTTGTAATGTGTCCACATGTCAAACGGCTTTTGTTTTCTTTATAGCTTTATAAGTGTTCGCGATTCGACTCTATAAGTACATCACTACCGAGAACACAGAATAACATCTTAATATTCTGACTAGGCGGTTCAAATTTTATTCATGACCACACAAAACTGTTTTTAGTCTCTTAAGTTCGACTAAAGGATCCCAGCTGTCACCTACCAGTGGTAGCTAAATGTATTGCTTTAGTCTTTTTCTCTACTTGCATGTTATTTATGTGGATTCCTCTATCATTTAGATCATAGCTCCTTAAAATCTTGTATTTTGTTTTATTGGTCTTGTGGTTTAAACCATATTGATTACAAACATTATCAATTCTATCCAGAAGAATGTGTAAACTCTCTTGAATATATCTGAAATAAGCACATGTATCACCAGCATTTCAAATATATATATTAATGAGAAACCCTCCATTAATCTTAACGTCATCCTCTGCACGTCGAAAGGCATTCTGGAACATTCCCTTTGAGTATCAATAACTATTTGTGGGCGCAAAATGCATCCTTGTGAGCTGTTGTCCTGGTCCTATCTGACCCCTCGGTCAATCCGTTTCTGAATCCAAACCTAGTTTTTTCAATGCAGCTTTTTAAGAAGATTTAAAAGTTGCAACGGAAATCCGGGCTATTCTTAGACTATCTTAGCTAATTAAATATTGTTTACACGGCCATCTTATGTGGTCAACACCGCGCGCACGAGGGACATTGCTTGGTATCGTGTCAGAATGGTATTCTATTTTGTGCGGTGGTCGTGATCGTTGCCACCACATCTCATGATCGTTGTTGCCTTTGTCTTATATTATTATTTAATATCGATACTGTGTAGAATTATAATAATATGTATGTTTATCGTTGTTTCTTAAGTATTATTATATATATTTAATCCGATGCTATCGACAAACACGGTAGGTACACACACGCTCAGCAGCGCTGCGGTTAGATAGGTGGTACACGGTGTATTTTTCGAGGTGACAACAATAATAATTGAATCCCGACGACCACACGCATTGTTCTGTATTTTATTAACGAGCTGGAACGAACAGTAGCGCTAACAGGAGACTATATGATAATAACCAACCTACACGGCTACACACAGCTGGCAAGGGAAGGCGGGGAGACTGAGCCGGGACAGTGTTTAGAGTCATTTGGAAATGCAAATTTCACACAATACCGCCACGACCGTGTGTGTCTCCGATGGAAATCGGCTCTAGGGGACGTGCTAAACTCTACTGCGAAGACGATACGGACCGATTGCATAACGATAATATTATGATGTATCGTTTCGCAGCACGTGTGTACAATCCATATTATTATTGTTAAGAACCGAAGGGTCGACACCACGGGGCCAGCCATCGTCTCTAGTCTAGGAAGCACGGGCAGGTCCAGCTTTAGTAGATTATTTTATTGTACAAAAAGAAGGAATAATTCCAGAAGAATGGCTTCGATCAGATTACAGCTAGTTTGATGGGTCATGCATCAATCGTGAGAGCGTTGGTCAGACAATTGAAATAGGAATTGAAGAAACTAGGTTTGGATTCGGAAACGGATTGACCGAGGGGTCAGATCCTATCCGACGATAGCAAGCAATGCCCCTCGTGCGCGCGGTGTTGACCACATAAGATGGCCGTGTAAACAATATTTAATTAGCTAAGATAGTCTAAGAATAGCCCGAATTTCCGTTGCAACTTTTAAATCTTCTTAAAAAGCTGCATTGAAAAAACTAGGTTTGGATTCAGAAACGGATTGACCGAGGGGTCAGATAGGACCAGGACAACAGCTCACAAGGATGCATTTTGCGCCCACAAATAGTTATTGATACTCAAAGGGAATGTTCCAGAATGCCTTTCGACGTGCAGAGGATGACGTTAAGATTAATGGAGGGTTTCTCATTAATATTCGCAATGCTGGCCATACATATGCTTATTTCAGATATATTCAAGAGAGTTTACACATTCTTCTGGATAAAATTGATAATGTTTGTAATCAATATGGTTTAAAACACAAGACCAATAAAACAAAATACAAGATTTTAAGGAGCTATGATCTAAATGATAGAGGAATCCACATAAAGAACATGCAAGTAGAGAAAAAGACTAAAGCAATACATTTAGATACCACTGGTAGGTGACAGCTGGGATCCTTTAGTCGAACTTAAGAGACTAAAAACAGTTTTGTGTGGTCATGACTAAAAATTTAACCGTCTAGTCAGAGTATTAAGATGTTATTCTGTGTTCCCAGTAGTGATATACTTATAGAGTCGAATCACGAACACTTACAAAGCTATAAAGAAAACAAGAGCCGTTTGACATGTGGACACATTACAAAATATACAGATTATCTAAATTTCAGAATACCTAAATAGCCATAGTGTGTATTGTTTGTTCAATTTTAAGATTGAGACTATAACAAACGTACCGCATAGTTGAAATCAGCATATTTACATACTATACAACTTAAAAAGTGATTTACCTATCAAAAGGATCTAGACTTGGTGCACAAAGGCCAGATTGGGATTCGTCGATAAATATTCTCTAATAAAATGGATTAATTTTGGTTTTGTACAGTGTTTTCAGATAGCATTTCGGTTATTATTTCAAAAAAATTGGGTTATACCGGAGGGTCGCAAAAAGTAGAGTATTGCGAAGTAAGCAAGAAGGCGAGTTGCAGTGTGACCAAAATGACAAAATTAAATTTATCTGGTATATATTTTTAATTCATTACTGCTTACTGTTTATCATATGAAAATGTAATTTAACTATTGATCTGTATAGGTTGATAAGCACTATACTGTTGAGTGTTTTAACAATTTAGAGAACAAAAATAGTTTTGTTTTTATTTAAGGTGGTCACACTGTCGCCTGCTTTGATGTGATATCCATATGATGTTACAGTTTTCAATAATATTTTTACCCTATGGATTATACCCACATTGGAGATTTTTAATATCTACATAATTGTCAAAGCGTTGTCACTAATTGAATGTGTTTTTGCACGAATTTCAGTATTTAAATATAATTGGCGGTTGTTATTACTCGTTTGATTTAATTAATTAATCGGACGGCTAAAGCGATGATTTCCGAGGGATATATATTTTTTAACGGATTATTTTTTCGGTGTAGGACAAGCCGCCGCCGCCGCCGCCGCCGAGATTACCATCGATGATGTAGATGTAAAAATTATAATAATTATACCAATTTCTATGCAAATGAATATATTGGACGGAAATCACAACAACAACTAAAAAATATATACATACCTACCCAACGATGGCAGCGTTTATGTGGAAAATATGTAATATTCGTTTTATGTTAAATAATTGTGGCGGTCGTTCGAATAAAATGATAAAATAATGACAATACATTTGGCTAATGACGGCGGTAAACACACTGGAGAACACAAAGGTCTGGGAAAATTTTGTACTTATCAGATGGAAATATCTGTTTTTATATTTTTTATTGGCCGTGCCAGTACGGTTAAGCACCGTGTTTTCGGTCCAGCGTTAAAAAAAGAAACTCACAGCAATATAAGTAAAATGTTAAACGGTTAATATTATTATGATCGCCCGTGTGTACACGACCATCGTGTTGTTTTTGAGT